GCTATGTTGTTACAGCTCCCCTTTGAAGCTCTTGTGTTTTTCTCCTTTTCCATCTGTCCAATCCTATTGTGCTCACAGGTGATTGGAGATTAGTTGTGTTCCTGCTTTGTTGCAGTTTGCTGATTTTTGTAAAATAAGTTGTTTTTGCTTTTCAGATAAAAGGGTAGTTTCAGTTTAATATGTTGCGGGCTCATTTTTTGGTAATAAATAATTGATAATAAATCATATTGATGATAATAGATTTTCAAAAAAATATTGGGCTTGCTTTGGGCTTGTTTTTGAAGCTGCGGTTGCTTATTTGTCTCGCGAGAGTTGGCAACAGTGTGACGTTCTGCGAACCAGTCATCAGAGCTTTTTGGACTGAGAAAAGAGTTTAATGGGGCTTATTAGAGAAATGGGCCGCGGTGGGATCTGCTGGTGTTAAATTGGCCATCTGTCATCCTGACTGCAAGCCTGTGGTCATTGCATCACAGAGCAGTGTCTGTTTTGTTTAGGATGTGGAATGGCAGCGTTTAGTCTGACTATCATACACTACCGTTTAGAAGTTTGGGGTCGGTAGGATTTGTGTTTTTTGAAACACGTCTCTTATGCTAACCAAGGCTGGATGTGTTTGATTAAAAACATATAGAAATAGTAATATTGTGAAATATTAAAATTTAAAAAAAACATTGTTTTAATATATATTAAAATGTAATTTTCAGTAGCCATTACTGCAGTCTTCAATGTCACACGATCCTTTAGAAATCATTCTAAAATGCTGAATGTTGAAAACCGTTGTGCTGCTAAACATTTTTTGTGAAAACTGCGATACATCTTTTTTTCAGGATTCTTTGATGAATAGTAAGTTCTAAAGATTATTTCTATTAAGTTCTAAAATTATTTGAAATAGAAATTATAAATTTCTTCACCGTCTTTGCTGAGTAAAATATTAATTTCATTGAAAAAAAAAAACTTAATAAACCTTTAAACTTTTTTAATAATAGCATATATATTATAATTCATATTACAATGATAACAAAGGATGCTGTTTAAAAAAATAAATTGTGGTTTATAAAAAAAAATCCTTGTTTGGACTGAATTAACCAATTCATTATTTAAATTCTAGTCAAATATTAAACATTACTATCTTCTTGATGTTTATGTGGTAACTTTCATTCAGAAATCATTCTAATATGTTGATTTGGTGCACAGTAATAATGATTCTTAATATTTTTGTGGCCCCCCCAAAAAAAATAATAACATGTATATATATATATATATAGTGCCTTGCGAAAGTATTCCTACCCCATTCATTTTTTTCACATTTTATGTTGCTGCCTTATGTTAAACTGCTTTAAATTACTTTTTTTCCACATCAATCTACACTCCATACACCATAATGACAAAGCAAAAACAGAATTGTCACAACTTCGTAAATTTATTAAAAACAAAAAAAAAACTGAAATAAGTACATTGCATAAGTATTCATACCCTTAACTAAATATTTAGCTGAAGCACCTTTACAGTCTCAAGTCTTTTTTGTTTAATGCGACAAGCTTTGATCATCATCATTTGGAAATTGTCTGCCATTCTTCACCTCACCTCTTCACCTCTCAAGCTCTGTCAGGTTGGATGGGAGCAAATGCACATTTTCAAGTTTCTCCAGAATTATTTGATTGGGTTCAAGCTAAGGCTCTGGCTGGGCCACTCAAGGACATTCACAGAGTTGTCTATAAGCCACTCTTGCGGTGTGCTTAGGTTCATTGTCCTGTTGGAAGGTGAACCTTCTGCCCAGTCTGAGGTTCTGAATGCTCTGGACTGGGTTTTCATTAAGGCTAACTCAATATTTTGGTGCATTGAGCTTATCTTCTACTCTGACGAGTCCCTCGGTCCCTGCCACTGAAAAACAGCCCCACAGCATGAGGCTGCTACCAGCACACTTTACTTTTGGGATGGTACTCTGCAGGTGATAAGCAGTGCCTGCTTTCCTCCAAACATGATGCTTGGAATTGAGGTTCATCAGACCAGAGAATCTTGTTTCTCA